GCGGAACCGGGGATTGAACTCAGGCCCTTGCGCTTGCCTGGGAAGTGCTTATTCCACTGAGCCATCTCCCCAGCCCCCTCTTCACTTTTTTTTTTTTTTTTTTTTTTCGCATGCCTTCAGGGCACGTTTGGCCAGCGGGAGAGTTGTGAGGTTTGAACTCCAGCCACCTGAGGCTGACAGCTTTGTGGAAGCAACCACTTAAAGGACTGAGCTAGGCCCAGGCCCCCTTAACTTATTTTTAAAAACATAAATGACATCATGCTGAACATGTTTTCCTTCAAGTAAACAACTTAAAGTGCTGCACATTCTGCGCTGGCCTCGGGTTTTGGCCTGTTGCACAGAGCTTCTTGGGGAGCCGCCCCTGGGTCCCTGCAGCGGGATGCTTCATTAGCGGGGACAAGAAGCCACACTACAGTGCCTTCCCCCCATTTCTGTGCACACGTGCAGGGACAATCCCTGGCCGGGGCCGCTGGGGGCCAGTTGTTACGCCAAGCCCACCCTTCTCATCCGACCCTGGCCACGGCCCCCTCACCAGGCCCTCACCTGGATCCAGCGGTCGCCCCGGTTCATGTACTGGAAGCAGACCTTCAGCTCGCAGTTGGTTTTCTCTACGAGGTTCTTCACCTCCTTCAGGAACAGGTAGTTGTCCTTCATGCTGGCAAGGTGGGGAAGGTGAGGAGGCCAGGAGGAAGGTGAGGGGGACACGGCCGCCCTCAGGGGGTAGAGACAGCAGCCGGCTCTCTGGGCTGAGCAGGGCAGCTGAAGCCGCCTCTGTCTGCAGTCTCCTTTGTAAGGGTCACTGGAGTCAAGGGCCACCCTCTTAGGCAATTTTTGTCAAGGTCAGGAGCAAATAAAACTGGGAAGGGAGGATTTACCCTCACCAGCCCCACAACCTACGCCTCTGACCTGCCAGATTTAAAAATATGAGCTATACCTGGCCTGAAGCTGCCCAGGGATGGGCCTGGGAGCTCAGGGGCTCCTCTTGGGGCTGCTGTTGTGGACATTTCTTTCCCTTGTTTCTTGTCTTGCTGAGGTTAACCTGGCACATAATAGGTCCCCAATAAAACCGCACTTAAGGAGCGAGCGAGGTGTGCTGGCTGGACATCACTCGGGAGGTCACCTGGCTTGGCTTTTTTTTTGGTGGAATTGGGGGATTGAACTCAGGCCCTTGCTCTTGCCAGGCAAGCGCTTATTCTACTAAGCCATCTCCCCGGCCCCATGACTTCTTTTTAAAAACATAAATGACATCATACTGAACATGTTTTCCTTCAAGTGAACAACTTAAAGTGCAGCACATTTTGTGCTGGCCTTGGGCTTTGGGCTGTTGCACAGAGCTTCATGGGGAGCTGCCCCCAGGTCCCTGCAGCTGGATGCTTCATTAGCGGGGACAAGTGCCTTCACTCTCCATCTCCTTGCACACGTGTGGGGACAATCCCTGGCTGGGGCCGCTGGGGGCCAGTTTCTACACCAAGCCCACCCTTCTCATCTGACCCTGGCCATAGCCCCCTCACCAGGCCCTCACCTGGTGCAGGGCTGAAGGGAGAAAGGTGACTTTTGGAGTCACGCCCTGTCCCTGGTCAAATGGCTGGGCTGCTTTATCTCAATGCTAAAAGTGACCCTGGGAGACTAAGGGAATAGTTCCAAGTCACCCAGACCCTAAGTGACAGCTCCAGGAACCCAACTCAGGTCAGCCTGATCCTGAACCCGGCCCTTGGCTGGCCACACTGCCAGGATGTCTCTCTGGGCTGTGGCCACCCCTTACCAGCACACAAACACCGACACAGGTGGAAGGATGTTGGGTGTCATGATCCACGGCGCGATGCGGAACGTCACTGTGTCCGTGAAAATAGGTGTCAGGGGAACCTCCTGGGTGCGGGAGAGAAGGGCCACAGGAAAAGCTGCATAAAGGCAGCCTCCACGCCCCCTTCCAGCGTGGGGGGAGCCCACAAGAGTCACACACTGACGGAGCACCTACTGCACCCCAGGCCCTGCGCCTGGAACCTTCCATGAGTTACTTCATTTCTGCTTTATGATACCCCAGGGGCAGGTAAACCAAGTCACAGAAGTGGTGAGTCATTGTCTAGGGTTACACAGCTAGCAAGCAGTAGAGCCAGCCAGGCTTTTCTTTTCTTTTCTTTTCTTTTTTTTTTTTTTTTTTTTTTTTGCTGCACCGGGGATTGAACTCAGGCCCTTGCACTTGCCAGGGAAGCGCTTATTCTGCTGAGCCATCTCCCCGGCCCCTAGAGCCAGGCTTTCAACCCAGGTGCTCCAGCTGCTGCGTCTGCTGTCCTCACACAGTCACATCAAAGTTCCTCTCCCAAAATCATCCCCAGCTGCAGGTGTTTTGTCTTCTATATTACAGATGGGGAAACTGAGGCACAATGAGATGAATTCACTTGCCCAGTGTCTCACAGTGGCCAACCCAGGATTCAGCCCAGAGCCCACCCTGGTGTTTCTCAGCTGGACCCAGCCTCACCCGTGTCCTGCCCCAGAGTGACCTGGGATGGGACGGGATGGGAGGGGCCTCTGTGTCAGGCAGAGCAGCCAGCGCCTCTTTCCTGAGTGGAACAGGGTAGACCAGAGAGGCTGGGGCCAGGGACTAAGGTCCCTGTGACAAGGGGCTCTGGTCACAGGATGCACCTTCAGCAAGGGGCTTCCCCAAGGGGCAGAGCTGCTGAGCAGGTGGCCGCCGGGCAGGAGTCAGAGCTGGTGTGACCCACAGCTGGGGCAGGAAGAGCAGGATGCACAGTAGGAGGCCAAGAAAGCACACAGTGAGGCCTAGTCAGAGCCTTGCTCTAACCACTGAGACTCTGAGCCTCAGAACCAGGCAGACTATGGCAGGGTGGGCAGGGCACAGGCTTAGGAGGCTCAGGAGTTCCTGGGAACAGATGTGGCAAGGAGAAGGGTCCTGGGGGACAGCTCAGAAGGCTGTGGAAGACACCTGTAAGCCACTGGGGACACCCAGCCTGGACCCACTCACTGCTTTGAGGGATGCAGGGTGCAGTGGGGGCCCGTGGAAGTGGCTGTATGGGACAGGCTGCACCCTGGTCCTTGGCAGCCCCTGGTGGGGGAGGCCTGGGGTCCTCACCTCATCCATGTACTCCAGCAGGCTGACGTGGATGGAGACCAGGCCCGAGAAGCCCTCATCGGGGAAGCGGAGGCCTTCCACGAAGAACAGAAGCTCCGCGGAGCCGCCCGTGTACTTGACCACGTGGTAGAGCTTTTTCCGGCCCAGGATGTGGATGTAGCGCTCGCCAAAAAATGGGTCTGGGGGGCAGGGAAGGACCAATGTGAGTCCTCTGCCCTATCAGGAAGAAGTCAGGGGAGTCACCGAGTGGGACAGGGGCCGAGCGGCCTGTCCTGTTAACGGAGAGGAGAGCATAAGCTGAAAAGGGCGTAGGGATGCGTGCGACGCGTCATGGTCATTGTCTCCGCACTGCCGTGTGCCAGCTGGCTTCCAGCTTCCTCGTCTACGAAATGGGCTGGCTTTTGTGAATGGCACGTGGGAAATGGTAGCGGCTGACGGTTACACTCGTGCAGCAAAGGTTATTGCTCCCATTGCACAGACGAGGAAACTGAGTCACAGAAAGGAGAAATGACTCCTCTGAGGTCGTAAAACCAGGAAGCGGCTGACCTGGGACTCAGATTCATGTCCACTTCTGAATCCTGAGTTCCCATCCCCTTTGCATAAATAAGCCATAAATGGACCCATTTATACCCAACATTCCCCTCTGTGTCATGAAAGCTGATTGGGTAAAGACCAACACATAGATGGGCCTCTGGGTCTCCACTGTCACAGAGGAGAAGAAAGGCAGGTTTCCCCCATGTTCCTGCCATCTCCAGCATGTCACAATGTGGCCCTGTTTAGAAAGGTCTGGTCCTCCTTCCTTGGTGTTTTGGTTTGTGTTGCTTGTGAGAATCCTGCCCAGATCCCCCAGGAGCAAACCAGGAACTATTTGGAAGCTCTGCAGACCCCTGCCCTTGCCCTACAGCCCCCACAGCCTCCCTAAGTGCAGGTGGCTGGTGTGAGGGCAGAGCCAGCCCTGGCCAGGACCTGCTGCCCGCCTGGCGCCTGGTCTGGTTGAATACACGTCTTGTGAATGAACCAACGGCTGCCGGGCCACTCCCTAGAGGAGAGGCCACCGGGGAATTTTCAGGCTGCTTGAGAGCTCATGAATGTGAATTATTGCTCTGGAACCAGAGGGCGAGGGCCTCCAGAAGACAGGTGGTCACCAGGCAGTGTCTAAGAGCGGTGCTCAGCTGGTGATAAGACAGAGCGGATGTGGGAAGGCTTAAGACAGAGATCTTGTGGTGTTATGTGGGGTGAGCAGGGTGGAGCGGGGAGAGGAGCAGGGTGGCAGCATCTGAGGAGAGGGGGGCAGCCTGTGAGATGCCCTTCGGGGGGCGCCAGGGGAGGCGGCAGGGTGTGGGGCGAGAGATACTTGCGCCGGCCAAGGCATGGAAGGAGGACCCTACGCAGTCCCACCAGGAGTTTCCTTAGGCCCTGCGGAGCTGGAAGGGCAGAGTCGGGCTCAGCTCGGTGCTTTTAACAACGATAATGATTAGTGAGCAGCTGACCAACAGTTAGAGCAGATATCTAGAACTTTCCTGGCACAAACAAGGTACCCCATCAAGATCCATGAAATGAGAAGCCCAGGCCAGGGATGCCCCTTCCCATGGGATAGTACACTCTACTGCACTTCCCTGAGTCTCAGTTTACCCATCTGGTGAAAGGGGGATAGTGCCTCCTCTATGCCACTTGGTCGCTGCAAGTGACACAGTATCACCAACCTTGGTGAGCTCGGTCAGTTAGGAACTGAGACCGAATCAGCACGCCCCTACTGCAGCACTCATGGCCTTTTCATCGGACAGTTCTGAACAGAAGGTAAGGAGGGCAAGGTCCTTCTCAACCATCAAGGACAGCAGGTGTCCTTCGGGCTCCTCTCTGTGAGGACCCAGATGGGTGTGTACACAGGCACAAGCTGTTCTCCCCTGGCACTTGGGCCTTCCATACCTACAGGCCAGCTATGCTTGAACCAATGCTCCGGAGAGACACCAAAGAAAACTGAAGCCAAATTTCCTTTGCAGAATTGGCCAAAGACAAGCTCCCCAGGGGCTTGGGGCAGTTGGGGCTCCATCAGGGCCTGAGATGGAGGGCACCAGGCCAGAGGAGATGGGGCAGGTGGAGGACGTGGGCTGCCATCGGCCGCAGCTCTCTCCTCCCCACGTGGCCTGTGCCCTACGCTTCACAATGTGTCTCTGTCCTGGCCATCTTTCAGGCAGTTTGGGGCAGTGCCAGGGGGATTGAGTCCTTGCTAGGAACAATGCTGCCATTGTCCCAAGGAGCCTATGTCCCTTGCCAGTGCGGAGCCAGCTGCCTCCAACGTGGCCAGCTTTGCCTGTGGGCAAAAACAATGTCCTCCGTGGAGTTGTCCTTGTGCCTCGTGCTGGGCCCGCCAGCCACCCTGACCCCTCCTGAATCTCAGGTGTTGGCCCCAGCTGGCCAGTGCATGGTATGGCTTGGTGTCACCCTTCCAGTCACTTGAGCAATTCTCCCTCCCAAGGAGACTCTGACAGGGTGATAGCTGTTGCAGTTTGCCCAGGATTGAGGTGTTCCTTGGCATGGGGGACTTTCCTACAACCAGGGAAGTCCTAAGCAAATGGGAACAAGTTGGTCAACCTGGCCTTTTAGGAAGACGTAAGGGCCTGGCTTTGGGGGTTCTGGGAAGAACCTGAGACAGGAGAAGGTCACCAGACCTTCTAGGGGGACTGGAGACTTCTGCCTGCCCCAATCACCACAACTAGTAATCACTGTAACATCTCCCACAAAAGCAACAGCCTCCTGTCACATAGTGTTCCATGGGTTGTCCTTGTCCTCACTCCGTCCCTCCTGCCATCCAGGACAGCAGGGACCCCTCTGATCCCCACATCATATCATAGATGGAGGTCCCAGGGCTGGGGGCGCTGAGGTGACCTCCCTGTGTGCAGAGCTCTTTCTCAGGGGGCCTCCAGCCCAGCCCCCTTGTCCTCGGGGAGAGCTGGATCTTTTCTACTAGGACACAGGTGGCCAAATGACATTTGTGTAGCCCATGCATTCTCACCTGCACTTTTGACAAAATCTCTAAAATGCTTGCATAGAAGGAAACCTAGCTACAGATCAATAATTTGTCCCCATTTTTGCCTGAGTATTCATCTGGGAATGCACGTTTGGTGGAGAAACTCACTAGTGTGGTGTTCACTGTCTTAGCGTGTGGCCTCCCCTGCCAGACATGTGGCTCAGCTGGCGGGAAACACTTTCTATGCCTTGCAGTTTTCTAGCCCCTCAGGAGGGTGCTTCTTGGTGGCAGGTGAGAGGCAGGGTGGCAAATGTGGGGCTGAATCCGAGCCCACTCCCATGAACACAGGCAGAAACTTCTCGAAAACATCAGATAGCACCGTTAGCGACAAGTCTCTGTGAATGCCAACGCTGGGTCAAGGCCCAGGCCAAGGTCTGGCCTGAACCCCTCTTGTGCTGTGGCAACTCTGGCCTCAGTGGGGTATAAACATCAACATCTCTGGCACCCTGGGGCTGTGGAGCCGGCCTGACTCTGGGACATTCCAGCCTGTGTGAGGTCACTGCCTAAGGCTTGGGGTGGAGCAGAAGAAGCTGGCATCAGGAGTCGCTGTCCACTGATGTCCAGCTAAGTCACTCCCTGAGCTGAGGGCTAGGTGACTGCCTGGCTCTTGTGGGCCAATCCAGAAGTGGTCCTGGCCCCAGACAGTGTTCCCCGCACACCACTGATATAGGAGGTGGGGAAGTACAGGTTGGTTGAGGAAATAAGAGGGATCTGTCAATTATAAGATCCCAGGACAGAGCCAAATACTTCTCAGGACCCCGGATGTGGAACTTCTCGCGGGTTCCCAGGAGATGTGGGTGGTATAAAAGACACAGATCTCACATGATTGTGACTCCCCATGGTCAGGGCTTGGGTTCTTGGAGTGCACGTTTAGTTTTGCACTTATCCTCACTTCCCTTTGGCCCAAGTCCGATCTATAAAGCTAGTGCTTCCCTGACCTTCACCCCTCACTTTTCCAATAAACTTTTGGCACCATTTTTGGTTTGTATCATCCAACTCTTTGCTCAAGGTAAGAAGGACCTGGAATATGTTTAACTAGTGAGCCATGTCTGAAGGAACTATCTGACGACACCATGACAAACTGCAGAGCTGCTTAACTGAGGGAACTTCAAAATACATAAATCAGATTGTGACAGTCCTTTGCTTAAAACCCTCTAATGGCTTTCCACTGTGCTTAGAATAAAATCCAAGCCTGTCGCATGCTCTGGCCCCTGGCCTGGCCCTGGCCCAGCTCCCTGACCTTGACTCCCAGAACCCCCTGCTGTGCTCGTGTTCTTCCAGAGTTCCCACGGGTCCCTCTTCCTGCGCTGTGGGCACTGTTCCCTCGCTCAGAACTCCCCTCCTTCAGCTCAGGAATGGCCAGTTCCTTCCCGCTGCTCCTCTGAGTCTGTTTCACTTCCCACAATGTGCTGTTAATCATGTTCCCTGTGCCAAGCCAGTAGCTCCTTGAGGACAGGGTGTGATCGTCACTTTTACTCTAGGGATCCCAGCTCCAAAACCAAGGCTGGCAACCAGCAGCTCAACACATGTTTATAGACAGAAGAAGCTTCAAGAGCCCTGGGGCATAGCACGTCCCTACACAGCGGGGACCCAGCACACCCTGTCACCATCAGGAGGAACCAGAGGCCATCCCCGGAGGGTGACAATGGCATCTCTTTTAATATTCAGAGATATCAGATAGATACATCTCAGAGGCTTGGCCTCAGGTCTCATGATGGTGACAGGACTCTGGAAAAGGGGACTCTAATCCAAAGGAGTGGTAGCCTTGGATGGCAGAGCCAGCCTCACTCACTCTCCACGTAGAACACGCCCACTTTGTCCGAGTCCGTCATGGAAATATAGAGAACCATCTCATATCCAGCAGGCAGGCGGTCGGGACCCTTGGTGCGCAGGATCATCTGGGACATGTCCTTGAGGTCTGGGGACAGTGACACAGAAAAGTTAGCAGGAAAGGACTGCCGCAGGGGCGCCTTTCGCTTTTACAATCAGGGGAAGAGCAAGGACAAGGTCACACGTGTGTGTTATGGAACCACAGGGGAGTATACAAAAAGCCAGGTGTGATGGTGCACACCTGTAATTTAAGCACTTTGGAGGCTGAGGCAGGAGGATTGCAAGTGTGAGCCCAGCCTGGGCAACTTAGCAAGACCTTGTCTCAAAATAAAGAATAACAAATGGGCTAGCGATATAGCTCAGTGTAAAGGCACTGAGTTCTAATTACAGAACTGGAGAAAAAAAAAAAAAAGGCATGGAGCAGAAAAGAGTGGTTGTCACCTCCAACATCAGAGATAACCTCTTGTTAACCCTTTTGGGCATTTCCTTCAGTCCTTTGTGTGTGTGTGTGTGTGTGTGTGTGTGTGTGTGTGTGTGTAATAAATGTGGTTCCAATTAGGCTATATTTATAGCTTTGGCTTTTGCTTTGAGCTCAAGTGGATATTTGAGTCCGTCATCTCCAAGAGTCCCAAGTCCCCACCCACTTCACCCTGCCCAGGACAGGAGTGATGTTTCCCTTGCCCCGATCCCAAGGTGGCCCTGCGGGGACCTTGCTTGCTGTAGACCTTCTCATCACTGCAGTCCTCCTTGGGCAGCCAGGGCGTGTCTCGGTCACAGTTTACGAGCAGGATGGCTCCCTGGCCCTCAGGGCCCCAGGTCCAGGATGCCTGCAGTGGCAGGAAGAGAGGTGAGTGCTTTCTTTGCTCGCCCAAAAGACCCCGAGGGGCACTGGAGAGATAGCCCAGGACACAGGTAAAGAGAAGCCACCACACGCTGGGGCGGACAGGAATCCTGAGCCAGGTTCGAGCAGGACAGTGGACAGGTAGGTCAGGCACGCCAGAGACCTCAGCCTTGAGTTGAGGAGGAGGCAGGAAGCCGAGGCAGAGGACCCAGCACGTGGATGTTCTGGGAGAGGCCCTGAGGTTCCTTAGGACCGTGGTCACCAACATTTTTGGGGACCGGGGAGTGGTTTTATGGAAGGCAATTTTTCATAAAGTTTTTGGTTGTTTCATGTTAATTATTTGTATGCTTGTGATACGTAATAACTATATTCCCCAGTATTACATGATGACAGCCCTCAGCTCCATCCCAGGTCACCACAGGGAGCATGTAAGCGAGGTCTGCCACACTCATGCAGCTCCTGCAGTGGGGTTCGAGCTCCTAGGAGAATCTAAGGCCCCTGCTGATCTGACAGGAGGTGGACTCAGGCCCTGTGGAGATAGATGAGCTTCGGCCCCTCTTCTGCTGTGCAGCCTGCCCTGCAGCTGGGTCCTTATCATCCATGGCCCAGGGTCTGTGACCTCCTGCTGTTTTCTCCTACAGCCCAGGCACTAGGAGAACTGGTTCCAACTCATCTGATCATGTTGCTTCCTCGCATTAAGCCCTGACTCTTGATTCATTGTTGTGCCCTGCAAGGCTTTTTGAGACCTGCTGGCCCCTCCCTCTGCCTCCTCCTCCTGGTGCCTGGTTCACTTTGCTCCACCCCCACCGGTCACCTTTCTCTGCAGCTCCTGGGCTTTTGCTCACACTGGCCCCTCCACCTGGACCACCGTCCTTCTTTGCCTTTGGCCAGCTACACCTTCTTCCAATATCAGCACAACTGGGCCTTCTCCCGGGAAGCCTTTGGGATCCCCAGACCACAACAGTGTCCCTAAGTCCACACATGGCATCGTACACAGGTTTTGGGGGAGCACTTAGGACAACGGTGACGACACAGCCACCCATGCAATTCTTCCTGGAGCATGGCTCTCCCCCTGGACAGTGGGTCCCTGAAGGGCAGGTGCTGGGTTGTTTTACTCTTTGTGCAGCCCCTGGGCCTAATCTAGTCCTGGGACATCAAAGATGCTCGATGAATATTTATGGGATTAGAAAAAAAAAAATGAGAACACATCACAGGCCTAGGTGTAGAGTCTGTCAGCCCAGGTTCATAGGGCTTGTGTGACTTGGCCAGGATTGCTCAGACCCTTGGAGAGGCCACAAACCTTTGTCCTGGGGTTGCTGGGCCTCAGAGCCTCTGTGGGGTCTACTGCCATGGGGCTGAGCCACAAGGATTGTGTGTGCAGGAGCTCAGCTATCTATGGGGCCAGGAAGAAGACCTAACACCACTGCCCAGCATGCAAGAGTCGGCTTCTTGCTGGGCTGTAGTCACTGTACCTTTGTGTGTGTGTGTGTGTGTGTGTGTGCGTGCGTGTGTGCATGTATGTAGTGCCAGAGACAGGACCCCGGCCTTATGCATGATAGGTAACTGCTCTACTACTGAGCTGCACTGCCAAGCCTTACTTTACTTTTTAACAAAATATCTATCTAGCTGGGGGTGCAGCTTCGTAGTAGAGCACCTGCCTAGCATGCAGAAAGCCCTGGGTTTCATCTTCAACACTAAAAAAGCATTTAAGTCTTCACTGTTAATCTAGGCATCAGATTATTCATTTAAAAATCACATATGCCTATGAAAAAATATAAATGATATACAAGGACAGAAAACTAAAAATAGTCAGAAACAATAGCCAGGAGATACTGCATGGGAAATATGTCAAAGAATCAACAACTGGGATCTCATCTTATTAAAAAGTTTTTGCACATCAAAAGAAATCACCAACAGAATAAAAAGAAAATCCATGAATTGGTTAAAAAAAATATTTAGCTAACCACTGTCCCTCAGACAAAGGACTTCTGTCTACCATGCATAAAGAATTTTAAAAAATCAGGACCCACAAATTCTAAGATCCAATCCAAAAACGGGTATCTGAGATGAATTCACACTTTTTAGATGAAGAAATACAAGTGGCAAATAAATATATGAGAAAATGTTCAACATCATTGGTCATTTGAGAAATGCAAATTAAAATGACGCTGTGATACCAACTCACCCCAGAAAGAATGGCTGTTATCAAGAAGCCAACCAATAACAAATAGTGGAGGGGCTGTGGGGAAAAGGGATCCCTTCTCCACTGTTGGTGGGAGCGTAGACTGGTGCAACTGTGGAAATCAGTGTAGAGATCCCTCAAAAAACTAGGATGGAGGTCCTATTTGATCCAGCTATTCCCCTTCTGGATATCTTCCCAGAAGAACTGAAAACATCCTACCACAGCAAAATATGTGCAGTCATGCACACAACAGCACAGCTTACCATAGCTAAACCTTGGAAGCAACCCAGATGCCCATCAGCTGAGGAATGGATACAAAAGATGTGACATTTTTATACACTTGGGTATTACTCAGCTATAAAGAAAGATAAACTTGAGGCTTTTATAGGCAAATGGAGGCAACTAGAGACTATGCTCATATGTGAAATAAATCAGATTCCAATGTGTAAATATCACATTGTCTCCCTAGTATAAGAAACTCAAAGAGCAAATAAAATCCAAAGGATATAATAGATATTGTAAAAGGGAAAGAAACTGCTCAAAAGGAAAGAACAACTGGGATGGGGGAAGGAAGGAATGGAAATATATGATATATATAATATATATTATATATATATGATAGCTCATATATTGTGCTATTTTCTATTAGTATATTGAAAGGAACAGTTAGTGCTTACGTTGTTTGATTACTTTTGCATGCCTATATCTTATAATCTGAACAACTACTTTGAAGACAACAATATGTAATGTAATAACCATTGCTAATTTCCTATCATCTTGTGAAATTCTGTGTCACTATAATTTTTTTTTTTACCTCTTTTTAAAATAATAATAAAAAGAAAACTTAGCTGGGCATGGTAGTGCACACCTGCAATCCCAGCACTAGGGAGGCTGAAGCAGGAGGATCGTTCGGGTTCGAGATCAGCCTGGGCTACAAAGTGGATCTCAAGGTTAGCCTGGGGGCGCCTGCTGGTTAGCTCAGTTGTTTAAGTGCCTGCTTATGTAAAAGCAGTCAGGTGCAGGATACCCTGGTTGGGTCCCTAGCTCTACATGCCTTACCAGACCCGCCCTCAAGGCAGCCTGAGCCAGCCCCCCCCAAAAAAAAAAAAAAAAAAAAAAAAACTTCTCAAGGTCCGCCTGAACTGCATAGCGAGACCCTGTCTCAAAAAGACAAAACCAAACCACACCCCTGAATGAGGTGGGACACACCAGGCTAGCTGCACAAATTAAAAGCACACCCATCACGTCCCACGTTTCCCAGGGACCGTAAGCACAGAAGGAAACACACTGACCTGTTACATGTTCCTTTGGGGGAGCAGGAAGGGATGCGGAAGGCAAGATGGAAGAGAGTAAGTAGCAAGGAAGAGTGAAGGAGTGAGCAAGCTGCAACAGCAGCAGGACTGCAGGCGCGGGCAGACGCAGCGCGGCGGATGCAACCCTCCACCCCTCTGATTCAAAATTTTTAGAAACGGCAAATGTTGACAAGCAAATGCCTCCACAGCATGATCTGTTGCAGATATATTCGCTCTTTTCAGTGGTTCAACCAAGTGGGTTGGGGAAACAGACCCTGGCCCCTGCTCTGCAGCTGACCCTGTAGGGAGCCAGGGCTCCTGCTGTGCTGCGGGTCTTCAGCCTCAGGCAGCCCCCTGAGAAGGGGCTGTCGGGGTTGTCTGCTTGGCAGGAGTCCAGGCTGCTGCAGCTGCAGCCTAGGCTCTCTCCCCTGGAAGTCCCTGCCCCCCTCCCCAACGGGGCATCTGCCCTATCAGCTTGGTACCTTGTTTGGGTTGTTCTTCTCCACCACGCCATCCCTGTCTGCGTCCACATCCAGGGAGATCTCTGGGGACAAAAGACATGGGTGAGTGCTGACCCTTCCAGACTGGGTGGCCCGGATATGGGTGGTCAGTGGGCCACAAGGGTGCAGTCTACCCTTTCCCTCGCTGGGAAGGGAGTGCCTCACAGAGGTTGCCCTGTGTGCAGCTCCCAGCCTAAATTAACCCCACCTACCCACCCGGGGAACTCGGTGGACGCTGTGTACCAGCTTCTGAGGTGCTATCAGGTAGTGAGGGGCCCTCAGTCCTGGGTGGGGTGAGGGCTGATCCTCGGTCATGTCTGGAAGCTTCACCCATGTGGCTTTAGCAGGCCTGGGATACCATAATTGTCTACTTTGCTTATATTGTGAAGATGTCCTGGCACGGCTTCGTGCAGTCTAACCTGGGTGTGTGTCTGTGCGCATATGTGTGACCCTCTGTGTGTGTCCGTGTGCACATGGTGTCTTTTTCTCTGTCTCCCCCAAACTACTCTGTAGCTTGCCACCCCAACTGTAAGAGGGAAAATTTTCCTCTGGGTGGGAAATAGGATCTCCAACCCCTCTGGACTTGAGGTGTCTGTGGTCCAGGGCTCCAGAGGGGTGGTCCGGGGCAACGTCCCTGCTTATCCGTTTTCCTGGGGAAGGGACCATCAGCATTCCTGGATCTACCCTGGAGACAGGCTTCAAGGAGACTGTGGTGTGCTGAAAAGACAGCCCCAGACAATGCTGGGTTAGATCTGTGGTTCTCTGCTTGGACAACCTCTCTGAGCCCGTTTTCTCACTTCTAACACGGGACCCTTTCCAATTACAGCCGTTGTGAGAACGGCAATGGCAGGCCCTGCCTACATTCTGAACCAGATAACTCTTGGTGTGGGCACTGCCCTGTGTGTGGTAGGATGTTTAGCAACATCCTGCCCTCTGCCCTTGAGATGGCACTAACATCTCCCAGTTGTGACAACCAAACATAGCTGTCACGCTGCAGGTGCTGCTTCCAGGTACTGTCACCCGGGTTTGGGAAACAGTGTTGCCTCGGGTGTTGTGTGTGGGGCCCTGGGAGCGGCACCTGGAGAGATGTGCCGATTCCAGGCCCAGGAGCTGCCCACAAGGACTTGGTTCACCCACACATACATCTCGGAGTGCAGTGGCAGCAGGTGGGGCCGAATGCACCCAGCTCTGTCCCCCCAGCAGGCACCCTCTGCTGATGTGGTAGAGGAGAAGCCGCACAGGAGGGGTCCTTTCCTGGGCAGCGCAGCCTCCCTCTCCTAGTCCAAGGGCCCATGCAAGGCCTCCCTGTGGCCATAGCCCGATTTCTTCCTGATCCCAACTCGCTTTTGTAGGTGGAGGCAGAGGTCAGCCCATGAGGTCCTCAGAAGGGCACCTGCAGTGTCCACTTGTCCCACTCCTCCTGCCGATGGCGTTGACCCGGCCCATCACTGGAGTGCCTGTCCTGTGGCCTGGTACTGGCACTGCAGCCCACATATGGGGACGCAAAGGTCATTTCATCTATTTTACAGGTGAGCTGGCCGGACTCTGCAGCAAATGAGGCTGACAACTTGGGAGGCAGGTGCCAGGCAGAGATGCCAGGAGACAGCAGGGAAGGTGTTGTCACTAGCTGCTGTTGACCTCTGTGACCTTTCAGCAGGTCCCAGGTGGGGGGTCCTAGCTCTTCACCCTCTGCTGCAGGGCCCTGTCCCTCACATGTGCTCCTTTCGGAAGCTCCTGGGGAGAAGTTATCTGTCACCCACTCCCTCCAAGCAGATGATGAAGATGGGGTGCCCAGCAGGAAAGAAGGGACCCCAGAGTCTGGGCCAAGCTTCCCACTTGGGCCTCCCGATGGTTGTGCTTTCTGTCTCTCCACAGACCCAGGCTGACCTCTGGCTGACCCAGGCCGACCCCCTATGTGGGCCAAGTCTGCCTTCAAACCCCCACAGAGGCTCCCCGGAAGGTCACTGCTAGAGGCGGCCATTCCCCCACCCCCCCAGCCAGCCTTATGATTTTTGTCCCTGGAATGCAAGGTGACACTGAGGCTCTTACGGTATGTCTGCTAAAGCAGAGAGGACCACCAGTGAGGATGGTGAAGCGCTACTACTCTGCTGCAGGAGTTTCTTAACATTAGAAGTTTTATCCCTTCGATATTTATATAGCGTAAAATAATCAAGCCAATGCCAAACCATTTCTAAAGGAAACCAGCTGCCCTCTGCCCAGCCCGTCTTCTCTGTTTCCTGATACTACACAACAATGGTTGAATAAATTCAGGCACAGGGCTCACTGGCTTCCTGTTGTGAAATCTGGTTATTTTAAAACAGGGCCCCCTTATGGTTCCCTCCCAACTCCCACAGCAATTCTGTTTCTCTCTTTGTCCTGTGACCTGTCCCCAAGTCACCTGAAATGTCCTCTTCCACCCTCCACCTTCACTCCTAGACCTTCCTACTGTTTAGATTCCACTGGGGTTGATGCACAGAGGGACGGCAGGCAGGGCTGGCACGACTTTCCCAGCTCCCTGTCCTCCTGGGATGGCTCTGCTGTCCCCAGGGGAGGCGGGAGAGGACACCTGTTTCAGGGCCTCTGGGTCCCAGACATTTCCCAGAGGCTCTGGATCTTACCTCAGCTCCCCGGAATAGCTCCAAGGTGTCGGGTGGCGCCAGGGTGTGGGGCAGGCTAAGGCGAAATGTCACCAGGATTGGGTTCAAGGCAATCTGCCCTGAGAACCAAGACCCTGAGGTCTCGGCAGGCTGCCAGACCCCTGCGGACAGTGTCAGGCTGCTGCTCCGCCTGCCCTGCCCAGCTACTTGGGATGTGGCGGGGAGGAAGGGTAGTCATTCCTCTCCAAACCCGGAAATGGCGTGGGCTCTGCAAGGGGGCTCAGGGATGAGCTCCCTAGGGCAGTGCCAACGTCCCAAGGCCTGTGTGTGTGTGTGTGTGTGTGTGTACTGATCCCACTGCCTGACCCCAGCCAAGTTTGGGGGATCCCTTCCTCGTGCCCCACCCTTCTCTCCTGCCACCGTCCCCAGAACAGGGAGCTCTGCGATCATCCCTAATTGAAACCTCCAATGTCCCCAGAGATGAATTAATTTAAATCCCTCTTCCAGAGCTAGGAAAAAGTGAGGTCTGGAGGGGATGGACCACTTGCAAGTTCACACAGCGAGTCCCTGAAGAACCGGGACCAAGAGGAGAACTGGTTTGTGGCCACGGGCGCGTCGTAGCTTTGTTCCCAAATCCCCAGAAGCGGGCTGGGCAGAGTCCATGTGGCTCCCCAGAGAGGAATGGAGGAGGCTGGTAGTACCCGCTCAGCTCTCGCTCCGGGACCCCGCCGCAGGCCTCTGCGCATGCACCCGCACAACCCTCCAATGCTCACAAGCACAGCGCGGGAACACTCTGTGAGTCCCGGATGAGGAAACTGATCTCAGGAGGGCGAGGTCACCTGTCCGCGATCACAATGCGGCTGGAGAGGGGAGGGTCAGGGTTTATTTCTGTCTCCCTGAAGTCAGGGCTTTCTCTGCTCAGTGTGCACAGACCAGACTCTGGGGAGAAGGATCCAGTTAAGGCTTTGCAGAGTTGGTCACACCCTCTGGGGACATGTAGAATGTCCTTGCCTCTGACCCATGCCCCTGAGTGGCTGCGCTGGGCGTGAGACTTAAGGGCCCCTGGGGAGAACACCACCAAAGGGAACAGAAGAGTTGGGGAGGGGCAGATAGGCCAGCGGTGCGCACGGGCGCCTGACAGGTCCTGGATCCCTGGCAGCACAGGAAGCATCAATTCAGTGCGGCGAGTGGTATTTCCTGGAGGCAAATGAGTATCATTTATCCTGAGAGGCTCTCCTGCTTACTTTATAGGTATTAAAATGATGCTAGTTGATCACAAATTGTTTCAGTGTCTTTCCATGCCTCCATGTCCTCCCTCTCCCTCTCTTTTTCTTTCTGGGGCAGCCGAGGGGTACATTTTATTGGTTCATACAAGCTAAATATTTGCAACCAGGGGCAGTCAAAGAAATAGATGCTTAGTGGCAGCAACTCAGAACCTGGAGGGCGAACGTGGCCCTTTGTCGTGGGCATGCGTGGCACTTCCAGGGCTGAGTGCTGCGGCACCCTGAGCAGCGCCCCCTCCACGCCCACTTCTGGTCTAGTGCATGGGACACCCAGGCCTGCTCCTCCTGGCTCCTCGGCTATCTCGCCTAGGCCTGCCTAGTGCTGGGGACGACTTCCTGGCACAAAGAGCTGGGATCACCTTCCCTTGATAGGCCTCTGGCCCCTGCCCTCCTGCCTTTGTCCTCAGGTGTCCCTGTCTGTGGGGTTCAGTTTCCTTGGGGACAGTCATCCGAGACAGCTGGGGGCTCTGTGTGCATGTGAGGTTCACTCACGTGCCCGGCTCAGCACGATGAGGAGTCTTTGGTTACCATTTCCTAAGCCCTCTGAGGTCATTCTAGGATCCCCCACCTCAAGACTGGGCACCCCTCAGTGCAGGGAGAGGGATGAGTTGACCGGCAACTAAGCCCTCTTGGGAAGGAGCTGAGAAGCAGACAAGCCCTGCTGTTCAGGTTGCTTCAGGGCACAAGGAGGGTGGGAGGGCAGCTTGTCTAGGGAGATTCCGAGAGCCCAGAAAGGGAGGCTGAGCCAAATGACTCGGTGGTGCACCAGCTGCCCTCTATGTATGTAGCCCCAGGCAGCTTTTGGCTTGCTTGCTTTGTTCCTCTGCGCCTTGGTTTTCTCATCTGTAAAATGGGGATGATAATAATGGCCTGTATTCTTGGCATCATTGTGGGAACAGATGGAAACCATGGCTGTAAGACACGTAGCGTTGGCGTGTGGCACGCTGGAGCTGCCTATACATGCTCAGCGTTTATCTTTCTCTTCCTTCTGCACCCAGCACAGCCCTAGACACGGCTGAGGCACACGGAATGTGGAGACATTGTTAGGGTTTCTAAGAAGCCCTCGGCACACTGTGGGCGCTCAAGACCTGCTAGCTCCTGTCCCCGGCCAGGTGGCACCTCTAGGTTAAACCAAGGCTGGACAGACAAAATGACCCTCTGAAATGTCTTCTGGCTTAAATGCTTGATTGGAAGAGAAAATAAAAGGACCTCCTTGACTGCAACACGGTTGAGTGACTGAAAGTTCACAAGACTACCTTCCTGGGTACTGCTTATACCCACTGGGCTCCCTGGCTTGCTTGCCTGGCACCCAAAACAGGGCAGTGAGCTGCAGCATAAGGAACCCAGAATCAACCTGCCAGTGGTTGCTGTGTAACTTTTTTTTTTGTATTTTAGTAAGGGTCTACAGAGTCTACAGGGTCTCACTAGGTAGACTGGACTTGTAGTGATCTGCCTGTGTTCAGCCTCCCAAGAGCTGGGATTACAGGCGTGTGTCACCATGCCCAGTCTCAATCGCCCTCTCAGTGCGCCCTGCAGGAGGGGCTGGCATGGCACACCAGGGATTGAATCCCTGGCTGCTGTGCTCTGCCTAAACAGTTGCTTTAGTCTGCTAAGCTATCTGGCCAGCCCTTGCTGTGTAACTTTGAATGAGTTTTCTAAACTCTCTGGGCCTCGCCATCTCTGTGGGTTGAATGAAGGACTTGGACGAGGTGAGCTAGGGACTGGGGTTGCATCTCCGTACCCAAGGCTGGGTGTGGGGAAGGAGAGAGGGGTGGAGCTGAGATCACCCAGGATCAAGCAGCATGGGAGAGGCAGGGGGTAGGGGACAGGCTTGCTGTTTCTCCATGACCTGCAGAGCCAGTGGTGGGGCCGTGACACTGGATGAGTCCTTGGCAGGCTTATACAGGGTTCTTTCTGTAGGCGGAAGGGCCAGGGACTCATGTGGCTCCTGCCTAGGCCTGCACTACTCAGAAGAGCCTCCAGGTTTGCAGTGTGGAACACAGCCTGGTGCCACTGAGCTGGGCGGCAGCACCAGCCCCAGCGGGTGAAGGTACCCAGGTGACAGCATTGCCAACTCACCAATGGCTGTGAGGAAGAGTCCAGCCTGGTCGATGGGGCCGCTACCCTCCTCCTCATAGTAGTTGACAGTGACCTTGATAGAGCAGGGCAGAGATGAGAGGTCCCAGCAGGAGAGCAGGGTGACCACCCCCACCCTCTCCAGACACCCGGACAATCTCTCCTGGACTGTCTCCTGGGGCTGCTTCTCCCAGACAGCTGCGCTGGATGGCAGCCCCTTTTCCCAGCACAGCCAGGAGGCCAGCACCATCTGTGCCCCACACACTCTCCGCTGCCTGCAGGGGGCTCCAAATCCCACTAAGCCCCACATCTGCTCCCATGCCTGGCTCCCAGGGGACTGGGTTGAGGCTGTTTTCTCTGGGCGCTGCCCAGCCATCACCACCAAGGGGCAGGGAGTAGACAGCACTGGTCTTGGCTTCTCCATGTGGGCAATTGCCTCACCTCTTTAGTGTTCCTCACCCCCTTTGGCAGACAGTGAGATCCAGGTTGCTGGGGCCGAACCCCAAGAATTTTATGGCTCTGAGGTCTCTGCTTTCCCTCCGACCCCTGGCCATCCACACTTTGACCTAGGAGGTCACTATTCCCTGTCCCATACAGCAGCTGCCAGCCCGGGGCCACCGAGCTCTTGAGATGCAGCTGATCCACTCTGGGATGTGCTGTAGGTTTAAGTACAAAAAGTTTTAAGTTTAAGTACAAAAAGAAGAAAAAGAAGGAGAAGGAGAAGAATATAAATCATCTTTAAAAAAATTTAAAACATGTCAAATGATAACCTGATGTATGGGTTTGAGTAGAAATATTAGGAAAATTAATTTCACTTTTTTTTATGCACATGGTATTGAGGGTTGGACCTAGGGATCTTCCCCCTGAGCTGCATCCAGCCCTTTTTACTTTTCATATTGAGACAGAGTCTCACTAAGTCCCTAAGTGTCCCAGGCTGGGGTCAAAGTTGTGACTCCCCTGTCTCAACCTCCTAGACTCCTGGAGTTACCTAGCCAATTTCACCTTTCTTTGATGTGGCTATTAGAAAATTGGAAGAAAAACATGCAGCTGTCATTCTGGGAGGGGCTGCTCTACTCTGCTCCTACCCCAGTGTGGCCCTGGGACCCTGCAGTCCAGGCGCAGGACATCCCTGCTGTGGTACCTTGTCACTGCTGGCCTCGGTGCTTGCCTGGCTCATGGTGAGCCGCAGCGTGGTGCTGGGTGAGAGTGCCCAGCGCTGTTTGCCGTTGCTGGCCACCTCCTCGGCTTCCCCGTCACGTACTACCTCCACCTGCACATGCTCAGAGCGCTTCAGGCTGAAGGTTCTGGCCCCGGCTGGGGCCGCACTGCAGGAAGAAAGGACAGAGGGTCAGGGGGAGCCCTGGGGTAGGTGGAACAAGGGCTTTCAGGGGGAGGCTCCTGGAGGGGCAGGAAGAACAGAACTCAAAGACCTCCTGGGTCAACCATCTTGGGGACAAAGGACCCAGCCTGGCAGCCACCTGGTAGTAGAGGACACAGAGTCCTGGGCTGTTCTTTACCTACAGAGTCAAGAGTGTTTGAGCGTAGGACTGAGATACCTGAATGCTTCACTGTCTTTGAGTTGCTGGGTCTGGAACCAAGTGCTCAGCCACTGAACTACACCCCAGCCCCAGGAGCTAAATTCTTTTATTTGCAGACAGGATCTCACTACGCAATTCAGGCAGACCTTGAACTCACTATGTAGCTCCAGTTAGCCTGAAGCTCAAGGTGATTCCTGCTGCCTCAGTCTCCCCAGGGCTGGAATTACAGGAGTGTGCCACCATACCCAGCAGGACCTGAATTCCTAATGAGGATCCTCCACTTCTGACCTACTTTGGGAGCACGTGGTACTGTAGGGTGGGGCCCAAACAGAAGGATAAATTTGCTCCCGCAATAGACAGAACCCTGACAGGTGCCTCAGTCACTGAGGCAAGAGCTGAGTTCTCACAGGAACTTAGCCTGCAACTCCTGTCCTCAAAGGCCGGGTAGGTGTCTCTCTCTGCTGCAGGATCCCCTCCACCCCCACTTATGTTCTTAGCCTGAATTCTGCATTCTTGGGGGCTCAGGATGGTTTTCCAAGGACAGGGGATACTCTGAAATCCTGAAAAGCATGAGACTTCAGGACAGGAGAATTTGGGGGCTCCGTGTAGCTGCTATGGGCTGAGTGTCAGTGATCCCCAAATCCATCCACTGCAGCTTTAGTCCCAGTGTGGTAGTGTTGGGAGACGGGGCTGTCAGGGGGTGATTAAGGTCGCAGGAAGTCATCGGGTGGGGTTCTAGCCCAATAGGACTGGTGATTCTACCAGAAGTGTGTTCTCCCTCTGGCTGACTGTCCCCCTCTATCCCCAAGCACAGTGATGAAAAGGCCCTGGTGACGAGGGCCTCCTGTGAGCAAGGCAGGTGGCCTTCTTCAGCACAGGCTTCCAGTCTCCAGAACCGTGAGAAAATCAGCAGCCTGTGGGGTTCGCTTTTGGTCCCCTAAGCTAAGATGTTAGGTTCGGGGGAAAGGACAGGGGTGTGGAGGCAGGGAAGGGTGCCAAGGGCTGACGGCTTTGCCGAATTCAGCGCTTGGTTTGAGGGCTCCCAAAGGCCTCAGAGGGCTCAGGAAGGGATCTAGGAGGGATTCTGTGGGATTTGTGACTCAGACACTGGCCCATGGTGGATCTGCCATTCTGGCTTCAGCACAGCAGGGGTGCTGTTTGAACCCCAGTGTGCATTCTGAAGGCTGCAGGCCTGGGGATCCTGTCCCTGGAGAGTCTGCCTGAGGCAGTGAAGGTGAAGAAGGGACCGCTGGCCGTGTGACCAGGACAGGCTGTGTCTGGTCTCTGAGTTTAGTCACGGTGAGGCCCAGGGATCTGCCTTCCCTCCTGCTTCCTGGAACTGTCGATGCTTCTAGTGGAAAGGCCAGAAGTGGAGAGCCTGGGGTCTGATGTCAGCAGTGTGGCCCACTGGTTGGAGCCCTGCGGTGGCTGAGGCTGTGGGTGTTAGTTTGTCACAGCTGCTAGGCAGCATCTTTCTGACCCTGGCCAGTCTGGGGCTGAGGATATAGCTCAGAGGAAAGCACTTTCCCAGTATGCACAAGGCTCTTAGTTCCATCCCTAGCACCACAAGGAAAAAAACAATGACACATAAAAAGCCAGGGCCACTGCAGGAGCCACTGGCCGAGACTTTGGTTTGGGGCAATGGAGGGGATGCTTAGCAGGACCCAGCAGCCCATTCCTGCCTGGTGTTGGCAGAGGAGCTCAAAACAAAAGCTCCAAGCCATCTGTCCTTTTGCCCCTGCACCCTTCCAAAGTCCTCATGCCTCAGAGGACATTGGGCTCAGCTGAGGAAGGAGGCTCGCTGGCCATGACCAACTGCTCCCATCACATCGTTGGAAGAAGCAAGCCTTAGCCAAGGCCCAGGGTCTGGGGTCCAGGTGTGGAAGATTTGAGTCAAAAGCCCTCCCACCATGGCCTGGCTGCAGGGGTGTGGGGGAAGGCTCCCGGCCTCTCTGCTGAATCCCCAGTCAGCCACTGCAGTTTCTGCACACAGCTCTGTAGGGGCTTTACAAACTCACACAAGGAGAGGAGCCCTTAGGACCCTGACTTGGTTACTATGCTGGTGCTTCCGGCCTGCCTTCATTCCTCTGGGTCAGTGAGAAACTAGAGCAGGCCCCAGGGGGTCCAGGGCATTAGCAGCCGGCCACATCAGAGCCTCAGAGTCCCACACCCTCCTCCTACAGCCCAGCACTGGCCCTGCTCTGAGCTGAGCTGAGCAAATAGCTATTCTTGGAGCAGGGATCCTGGCAGAAGCAACAAAGGTGCTATTGTCCAGGCAGATCCTGTTGGCTGCCTCCTTCCCTCCCCAGGAAGCTCTTCTTGGGTGGGCGCCCCTGCAGCAACCCAAGAGCAGCTGGGCCCTTGGGCTGCAGGGAGCCTAGGCAGCATGGAGGATGAGGGATGGAGTGGGGCTGGAGAGAGGCAGACAGGACAGACAGAGTTCCCTGCACAGCATCCGCACTGCGGCCCACCCAGCCCTGGGGCCTGGCCACGCCCAGCTCACCCTTCACGAGTGAATGCAAGAGGAGCCCGAACCTCTTGGCTTTCCAAGCCATGCTACCAGAGCCATTTTTTAAAAGGCAAAATTCAGGTCAGAAATCCCTCTTCAGCCTGGAGCTCACCCACTGGCACTTAGCTGACTGCCTGGCCTTGTTTTTTGCCACTCAGGCCACCCGCTGACATCCCTCCATGGTTCTGTGTGGAGCCTGCTGCTCCTTCCACCCAAAAGGCTCACTTTTCCCTGCCTCCCCATCTCCCTGGTGAACATTCACTGCTCCCTGAAGTGCCCAATTCCATGGGTTCATGCCCATGTTCCTTTCCCTCCGCAGCAGACAAAGAGCTGGAAGCGGAGGGCTCACTCACCCAGCCCCGCACTCATTCAACATAGTGTATTGCTGGGTGACAAAGGTAACATTCCCCGGGGCCACAGAACGGTATTCTAGTGAAACACAGACCTCCAGGAAATGAAGGAGACAGTCGTTTTAGGAAATGTGGTTGGACTTGGTTCTGAACTTTAATGAACTAAAGGGGTTGGGTACTGGGGTGTCAGGGAGGGTAATGGGGGAAGAATATGAGTCAAATATATACAGGTGTGAAAGTGCTACAATGGAGCCCAAAATTTCATAAAATATTTCAACATGCACTATGTGTGTATTGAAAAGAATGCACGAAGCCAGAAACCTTCATGCTAATGTACCTGTTAAAAGACCGACTGCTGGAACCATGTCCGCATCTCCAACTCAAATCTGGGCAGGGCCTGAGAAACCATGTTTCTAACAAGCTGATGCCACTGGACCCAGGGGTGCAGTTTGAGAACCACCAAAGTTGGCAGAGGGAGGAGGTTTCAAGCAACAGGGCAGCCTGGGTGATGGGCAAGGTGGGCACAGTGTGGCACGCTGGCTGATCTGTGAGTCAGGGGCAGGGTCGTGGAGGGAGAACAGTGGCAGAGGTCTTGTGGGGGAGCCAGGCAGTCCCTGCAGGCTGCCGAGCGGGCAGGTGTGGTCATCTATGCTGTAGACAGCTTGGCCAGTGTGCACGTGGGCAGGGCCGCAGAAACGCGGTATAGAGAATGCAGCCGCGGTGGTGAACCTACGGCACATGTGCTGTGGCTGGTCGTCTGTCATTGTGGTAAGCTCTGAAAGGTTCGCCATCACTGGAAGAGGGCCCAGGGAACAGTGATGGCAGGTACCTAGGTGTGCAATGGTGGTGGCTTGGGACTGGATGGTGGCCATGGAACTAGGAGTGGGCAGGAGGCTGGTGTCAAGCACAGGACACCTGCCAAGCCCCTCTGGTCTTTGCTCCATCAGTGGGGAAGGTCACCGGCTTGGCTCTGCAGGGCTGGGCGGCATGACGTGCCTGCTCCTGGCCGGCGCCGGCTCTCGCGGCTGTTCCACCTGGCTGGACCTCATTAACACCAGCCAGGGCTCAGCCTCGGGGTGAACCTAGCTCCTGGCAGCCTGGGTGTGACTGCCTGGCCTCAGGGCTCTGGAGGAGTTGGCCGGGAGGTGTGGGTGCAAGCCTGGCATGCCACCCACGGCGAGCACCCTCGAGAAGAGCGGAGGGAGGGAGGGAGGCAAGGCCCCGGCTGGGAAGATCACGGTGCAGGCCCCACATCTGGCACATGGCACGGTGGGGGCCAGAGCCCCGAGGCGGGCAGCTGCTGGGCAGGGATCGGTGCGGCACAGCCTGCGCCCGCCTGCCGCCGCCTCGTTCTACCCTGGAAGCCACAGCAGCCTCTCACCAGGCCAGGTGTTGCAGCTGCCCCGGCCTCGCCTTAGGAGCAAGGCAATCTAGTTCACGGCCACCCCTTCCTCTGGATCCTTCAAGAACTCCCTACGGCCCATGGAATGAGGCCCGGCACCTGCCCTGCGCCTTCAGAGTCCCGGTTGAGCCCTTTGACCTCTAGCCTCGCTCCCCAGGCTGCTGAAGCACTGCTCTCCACTCCTGCGTGGCCCAGCTTCCTCGCCACCTGTGCCCTCCTCCCCTGGGGCAGCTTCGCAGTCTCACCCGAAACCCGGCCCTCTTCTGAGACCCAGCTCAGTGGTCCCTGGTCCCATCAGTCCCTTCCTCTGCCGCTGCCTTGAGCAGTACTTAACAAACAGCCAAAGCACCCTTTGCATAAGCATTACGGGCTTTTGAGGGCAGGGAGCACAACTCATCGTAATTTGCTTTAATAATACAATAATAGCTCAAATTCTGGGCTGTTTTCAAGATTTAGCTAGAGTTGGATCTATTATTATAAATAGTCCAAATGCCCCAGCAACTGGTGAATGGATAAAGAAGATGTA